AACACAACTGTTGGTGAACACTTGGTAGGTTTATATCTCATTCCTGTTTTTTTATACAAAAAGAAGAAATAAAAAATTGAGTCTGGGTATCCAGGCACAGGCCTTGGGAGGCACTTGTCAGGCACTGGGGAGGCAGGGGCTGATCTCTCCAAGTTTCAGGCCAGTCAGGGCTACCTAGTGAGACTCTGTCTCAGCCAACAAATGAATGACTTTATAAACAAGCAAACAAACTTTGGGCTCGGTAATGGCACTTTGCTACCAAGCCTTAAGGACCTGGTTTGGTCCTGGAACCCGCATGGTGGAGGGAGAGAAGCGGCTTCCGGAAGTTGTCCTCTGACGTCACCGGTGCACGTGCCCACATAACTAATAAATGAAGAGACACCCGAAAGGAATAATGTTATACATACTGCAAAGAAAACCAAGTGTTAGGAATTATTTTTAGATGCAGAAATATAGGAAGCTATCCTTATTAGTTACTTATTTGGACATTAATGTTTCAATGTGTATCTTTGCTGATTGGGAAAAAAAGGAGTGTTTTCATAAACAGAGACAGAGGAGCCGGCTTGACCGGTACCACTAGCTCAATTGCGACAGTTGGACCATCCGAAAGAACAATAAGACTGGGTGCAGCAGCGGTGCATGCCTGTAATCCTAGCATTCGGGAGACAGAGGCAGGAGGACTTGCCGCAAGGACGAGGCCAGCCTGGTCTGCATAGCGAACTTGAGGCCTGTCAGAGTTCTACAGCAAACCCGTTCTGTAGCACGGCTGGACCCAGTGGCACCTCTGCCATCCCAGTGCTTGAGGGGCCAAGGCAGAAGGATTATGGATCCAGAAGTGGTGTGCGGAAACAAATAAATAAGGTAAAGATTATGAAAAGAGGACCAAGAAGGCTCCTTATAAAACAATTCTAGCCGCGTGGTGGTGGTGCACACCTTTAATCCCAGCATTCGGGAGGCCAAGGCAGGTGGATCTCAGTGAGTTCGAGGCCAGCCTGGTCTACAGAGTGAGTTCCAAGACAGCCAGAGAAACCCGTCCCAGAAAACTAAACCAAACCAAAACAACAACAAAATTCTGCCTAGAAAATATGGAAAGAATTTCAAATGATTCCATGATCCCCATGTAAGACTTGCGGGATCTCTAAGGTGGAGATTGCCCAGGAAAGGCCGCCGGAAACCGGGACAGTCATGTGGTCTGGGTTTCCGCTCACACAGTATCTCTAAGTAAGCCAGTGAGCTGATTTGGCAGTGGGGGACTCGCTGGCACTGCCTTTAGCTGGGTGTCCGCATGAGCACAAAAGGCAGGGTGTCACTGAGATCAGGAAGCACACCTCTCCTCCATACCACCCTTCCAAAAATGTTTAGTCTGGACCCAATCCTGAGCAAACCACCAGAGACTCATCTGGACTCTTCCACACAGAAATCCATAGAGACAGGAGGACATTATAGATGAAATACACCAATGAGACATAATTATCAAATGTGATACTTGAATGAAAAGTATTTCAGGAACTATAAGAGAAATTTTTTAAATATTTAAATATAAAATGAATTAAAATAATTTTAAATTATGAGACTATGAGAGGAAATTTTGAAATCTTTGTAACATAAATTCAAGTAATCTATTGGGGGTGGGGGCTGAGACAGGGTTTCTCTGTGTAACAGTCTTGGTTGTCCTGGAACTCACTCTGTAGCCCACGCTGGCCTCGAACTCACAGAGATACGCCTGCCTCTGCCTCCCGAGGGCTGGGATTAAAGGTGTGTGCCACCAGCCACCACCACCTAGTGACTTTGTAGTTCTTCTTTTTTTTTTCAAAGATTTATTTATTTATTTATTTATTTATTTATTTATTTATTTATTTATTTATTTATATGAGTACTTTATTTGCACATATGCCTGTATGCCAGAAGAGGGCACCAGATCTCATTATCGATGGTTGTGAGCCACCGTGTGGTTGCCAGGATTTGAACTCAGGACCTCTGGGAGATCAGGAAGTGCTCTTAACTGCTGAGCCGTCTCTCCAGCCCTGACTTGATAGTTCTTGATGGTTGAATAACGCTGGGAGAATAAGTTTTGCAATACAGATTGGTGTCCGAGTCTCTCATTTTAGGGGGTGGGGGAGGGGCAGTGAGGAGGGGAAGCTATGTGGAAGTAATCGTCTTTCTATTTTCTCCCCTTTCTTCTATTTTTCATTTTTCTCAATTTCCCCATTGCATGAGGCTCCTGACCACCATAGAGAAAGCCAGGGCTGAGGCCCTTCCCTCATCTCCCGCAGCCGATGGAATGGTATTTATTGTTCCCACTTAAATTCTACAGTCTAAGTACTTGTCACTCAATCACTTCTGCTCTGCTACGGTTTTTACTGTCTTAAATTTTCAACATGTGGCTGTGGCTGTTAGTACGAATTTGACATCTGGGTAAAAGTAAAAAGACCAAAAAAAAAAAAAAAAAAAAAAAGGAAAAGGGCCAGACCGAAGGGGGAGACCCACACGGGTCCAGGAGTGCCACACGGGACGTGCATTGGCTGTCCCTCGGCGCGGTTGAAACATCGCAGTCGAAAAGGACCGTGATTTTATGTTTTCCAGAAGTGATTGAGAGGCAAAGTGTGAACACCATGTCTTCAAGTCTATTTAGAGAAAACGTTAGAAACTAAACTTCTGTCTGTAGTAGACCTCGAAGAGCAAAGCAGGAGTCCTCAAGGGTTCCGCAAGGAAGGAACAACTCACCTCCGCCAGGCTCTAGAGCTCCGTGTGCAGCGTTTCTAATCATTGCCACACCGAAGCTGCGGTCTCTTTGCTCCTCTTTATTTACCCCGGGTAATGCTGCTCCCGCCCCCTCTCACCCCCTCTCATGTGACGTAAAAGTTTCCTCAACCCACGAGGTCCAAGTCAAATGCTCTCTCTCTTTTGCAATGTTTCCCTTGCCAAATGCTGATGTTTCTGACCCAAATTCTCTTTGTGTGTTGCTGGTACAGCTCTGCCTCCATGTACCGCACAAACTGTGTACGAGGCCTGGCCCCAAGTCAGCTCATCCATTCTTGAAAGTAACGCCTTTATTTATTGCCGTGCCTTAACCCTTCATGTAACACTTGGTGTCTGGTAATTGGCAATCAGGGTTTAATAGGTTGGCTAATTGATATTAGTCCTTTGATACTGAAATTTATTATCCCAGGGCTGGAGAGATGGCTCAGGGCCCTCGCTGCCCTTGCAGAGGACCTGGGCTTGATTCCCAGCACCTGCATAGTGGTCCAGGAGATCTGATGCCCTCTTCTGGCCTCCAGGGGCACTGCAGGTGGTGCACACGGAAATAAATAACAAGAAAATGAAACATATTCCTCCATTTCCTCACAAGTCTACCAAGGATAGTTGGATACCGTTAAAAATCAAGCTAGCTGCTGGACTACCCGTGTTACAGGCTTTGTTACAGCCTGTAACAAAGTGCGTTTACTTTGTGCTTAGTTAGTTCCAACTCCGCTGTGGCACCTTCTGAAGAATTCAGGCCGAGGTGCTTTCGTGCTGTTTCTGGAGTGTGGATTTACCGACATTCCAAAGTGGAGGCTCTTACTCCTCCCCCCCCACATGCACCGCCACACCCCAAAAGCCCCATATCCCAACTGCCATCGGTCTGGGCGGGGTAAGCGATCACTAACAGATTAACAGTGCACCTCACGTTCGTCAAGCGTCTCACCCTTCACAAAGTGCTTCCCCTCAGCCCTTCGGATTGAGAGAACAAGTTGACACAGACGGGTTCACATGGCTGCAGTGGAAGCAAGAGGCTGGAACCCAGCTCGGCGGCTCCGCGTTCTCGCTGGGTTAAAATAATCTTAATCCCAGCACTGGGGAGGCAGAGGCAGGAGGATCTCTGAGTTCAAGGCCGGCCTGGTCTACAGAGCGAGTTCCAGGACAGCCAGGACTCCACAGAGAAACCCTGTCTTGAAAAACAAAAAAAAAGGAGGTGGGGGATAAGCCACCTCGATCGCTACCAAGAACCACACTGGAAAGGCTGCACCGCGCCTCTGCCTGCTTTTGTTGGTATCTCCCACCCTGCCACCCCCGCACAGCTGCCGGAGGAGTGGGTTTCCATCACGGGCAGAACCCGTTGGGCTGCTGGTGCGCACTGCCAGATGACCAGCTTCTGCATTTTTATTATTATTTTTTTTATTTTAAAGGAGGCACAGCGGTTCAGCCCTGACCTTATCACTATCTGATTTAATAGAACCTGTCCCCAAATGTAATGCAACCCCAAGTGGAAACCTCTCCTGTGAAATTCTTTCCTGCAGAACTGACTCCCCCCGCCCCCCGCCCCGCCCCCCTGTGTCATGCAAAGACGCTCTCTGTGACGTTGTCGTTTCCTGTGACATTTTCATATTTAGACCCGAGTGGTAGAGCTCAGAGGACGCAGGGACACTATTGGGTTCACCTCTCTCCTTCTCTTGTGCTTTCTCCATTGGTTTAGGTATTGTTAGAACTCAGAGGGTAGCTCACACACATCTCCTTTATCCACATTTCATACCTCAGCAAGAACTAGTTGCTCAGATGGGTCCTTACAGAGATCAGAGCTCCGAGGAATGGGACCCAGGACAGGTAAGAGTTTAGGGGCTAAGGGAAGGGCTGCAGCGTGGGGGCATGATGCCCGTGGGGCGGTCTGGGAGGGCACTGGTGTGCCTTGGAGAGGAGTGGCCCTGGTAACTGATGAAGTCACCATGCCTTCAACTTTGCTCTGAGTGTCAGTCAGTCCTGGATGCTGCAGGGGGCAGTGGCCGTGACCCAAGTGACCTCTTACTTTCAAGGGTCGGCAACGTGCACGGCGGCCTCTCGGGCTTCCGCCTCCCGATGAGGAGCGAGGACTTTCTGAGATGATTGGTTCTCCCCCTAAGTGGAGTGAAGAATTCAAAACGTGGAGGTCTCAGAACTATAATCTGCTCGCTGGTAAAGGTGGACAGGAACCATCGCCCACGGCCAAGTGTAACGGGAAATCTCTTTTCCGTTTCTCCACTTTGCAGACAGCTGCAGCGTGACTTCCCCAGGGCCCTGATTTTCAGCACCGACGATTTTTTCTTCAGGGAAGATGGTGCCTATGAGTTCAACCCGGACTTCTTGGAGGAAGCGCATGAGTGGAACCAGAAGAGAGGTGACAAACTCCCCTCCAAACTCCCAGGAGCCCCTTGTTGTGTGTGTAGATTGAGGCAGCGTCTTCTTTTTTGTTCTTGTTGTTTGGTTTTTCGAGACAGGGTTTCTCTGTGTAGTTTTGGTGCCTGGCCTGGAACTCACCCTGTAGACCAGGCTGGCCTCGAACTCACAGAGATCCGCCCGGCTCTGCCTGCTGAGCGCTGGGATTAAAGGCGTGCACCACCACCGCCCGGCGTCTTGTAGCAGCTTCAAAATGAGTACATTTCATGGAAGGGGCCTTAAGCAAAGCTCTGCCATTTCCCACCCAAGCAGGATGGCGGGGCTTGACTCTGTAGTAGATTCCAGCGAAAGGAACCCCCTGGTGGTTCTGCACTAGGGGGCGTTTAACTGTGTGGGGGAAGGCCTCCCGCAGTGGAGGTGACCCAGTGTGGATGATGCTCGCTCTGGTGACTGCTGCGTGGTGCTCACTCTTGTGTTGCATTGTGTTACAGCGAGGAAAGCAATGCAGAACGGCATATCCCCCATTATTATTGATAACACCAACCTGCACGCCTGGGAAATGAAGCCCTATGCCGTCATGGTAGGAAGAAGTATCATTCTGAATTCTCAGTTTGGGGCGTTCTGTGAGAAAGTGGAAACCTGTGTTCTTTCCTCTTTTTCTGGTCCTCCATGATTTCACATCCACTAAGGGTAGATCTCACAGGGAGCAGGTAAAGTTGTTTTAGGGTCTCTGCTGTTAGGTTGCTGAGGGGGCTACCGTACCTCAGAGGGTCGTCCATAAATGGTCTAAGTTCTTGGTAGATCTCTCTCTCTCTCTCTCTCTCTCTCTCTCTCTCTCTCTCTCTCTCTCTCTCTCCCCTCCTTCCCTCCTCCTTTCTGTTTTTTTTTGAGACAGGGTCTCTGTACATAGCCCTGGCTATCCTAGATCTCACTAGGTATACTGGGCTGGCCTCAAAGTCGTGGAGATCTCCTTACTAGATTCTCCATTTTGGCTATTTTCTGTTCAGGGGAGCACCCACTGATACTTGCAGGGAGTTACAGACTAGAGAATGGACAGCAGGGTCCCAGTGAGCCAGGTCTACCTGTGGTAGGCTGGGGATTTCAGTACTCTGTGGCTGTTCCAGAGCAACAGAATTTCTTAGTCTATGAACAGATTGCCAGCGTGACCCTTTAAGGCGATAGAATACAAACCGCAGCACACACCTCCTCTCCGGTCTGATCTTTCCAGACATTGTTTGTATCTTACGCTAACAAGTTTTCATTTCCAAACCGAGCAGAGCAGGAGGCAGACAGCTTCTTGAGTTGTTATAGGTGGCCCCCAGCATGCTGGGGGGTCTCCTCCACGGGGCTCAAGGTAGCTTAGCGTTAGGATCCTTCCACATGTAGGCAAAACAGCAGACAGATAGCTGTTACTGACGCTTACCTGTCAGTTCTCCCCAGGCCCGGGGTGGAGAACTTAGGTGCCTCTAAACCGTGTATTTCAGTTCACATTCAAGGTCACAGGGGACGAGCAAGGACCTGAGGAGCCGATGCATGCAGGCACAGCCCAAAGCAGTTAAGGAGCGACTGGCGGTGCCTTCCGGAAGTCATTGCACTTCTCAGTTTGGACACTAGTCACCACCCAGCGCTGTCATTGAGACCCAGTCACTAGTTGTTCCTCAGATACGGTGGTTGAATCCTTTCCTGAATGGAACTGACTATCCAAAAGACGGAGAGGGAACTTACATCTTTAAATGTATTCATCAGTTGATAAATGATCACCTTACACATTCACGGGGTGCAGTGGGCTGCTTTGGTGGATGTATTCATGACTGACTCGGGGAACTTAAGTTATCGGTCACCACAGACACTCAGAATTCCCTGCTGGCTGTTTGGATTTGCGTAGTTGACTGTGAGCCCCTCTGGAGAACTAACGCCTGCTGCCCCGTTATGAGGGAGCCCCTCGGCTTAGCTCATTTAGTTCCATTTTATAACCCGCTGCGCACTAGTGGTGACAGAAGACTGTCGGAATGAGGCGGTCCGGTCAGCTCATGAGTGCGAAGGACGTTTAGAAGTTTACACGAGAGCCTTCCCAACTTTCTAAACCCACAGAAATGGGACCCGGGGCATTGGGCCGAGCCCTGCAGGAAACACTGTATAGAACATGTGGAGATCACTGTGACGTCATAAGCTATGTGGCACTCTCAGCTACAAACCAAGGCGGGAGGGAGGAAATCCATGATAATCACAGGAGTCACTGTAGGAATTCTCCAGGTCCACTGTTCACACCCATGTTTGGGACATTTCATCATGAGTTCAGTGGTCTGTCCTAAGATGTTCACATTCATACTGGACAGAACTGATAAGCTTTATCAATGAGACAAAATGCAGTAGATAGATTCAGGGCCTGGATGACTTATAAAACAGGGGGGAGGCATTTGGACGAGACTGTGGTGAATGCTGAGTGGAGCGTGAACATTCCCAAGCATACATGCCATGTCTTCAATGTTTTATGTACTTTTGAAAAATCAGGCACTTGAGAATAACTATGAAGTTATATTCCGAGAACCCGACACTCGATGGAAATTCAACGTTCAAGAGTTAGCAAGGTATCGCTTTGTTTTCCTAGTTCCTCATCCTGTATCCTGCCACTTTCAGGTATTTCAGACCGAACAAAAGCATCTTTTCAGGCTGGAAACGGGACTGTAGTTTTCAGGCCAGAAATGGTAATTCTTAGAAACTGATAAGTTTGGAACTATTAATGTGAAGACTTTAGTTTTGAGTCTGATGTCTCATATAATGCTAAATGCTAACCCTTGGCTTGAACTTGGTCCTTTAGAAGGACACACTTAACTTTGTGCATTAATGAGCACTTAAAGCACTTCCTCTGCATGGGATGCACAGACCAGCAGTGCTTCTGCGGCAGACTAAAGCAAGAGCTTTGAATGTGAAGCAGAGCGTGGCTCGTTCATGCTACAAGTGCTGCTTTGATTGACACAGCAACCCATGTCCAAATAATACTAACTCGGTTTATAATGCATGGCTTCTGATAGCCACACTCCATGTCACCTGATGCCAGTGACCCGGTAGAAGCAGAGCCTCTCCAAAGTGAGTCTGTGGTCCCCCCCTTGATTGCCTGGTTGTTAAATATGACATGGGTCGTGAACTCTGTTCTGTAATTGAAATCTCGGCAACTGAATGTCTTACCACGTCCCCGGCTGGTATTTGTGCTCTCTAGAACTTAAGATCGGTTTAGTAAGCATCATTTAATGGTATCGGAGACCAGCTGATCCAAACTGTTAATAGATATATGCATGTCATCAACAGGCACATCACTAAAGCCATGAGCAGTTGTATCTTACGGTGCTTGCTCACGGTCAACATCACCAGAAACAACGCCTTTCTGAAGCTAGCCCCGGGCTTGTCTCGGGGTGTGCAGGGAGGGCGGCCCGAGAGTCTGTAGGGCTGGGGAGGCAGGCGCCTCAACGACAGGATGCATGCTTTTCCCAGGTGTCCCGAGGCAGAGCAGCAGCCACGCAGTGCAGGATTTGCAGTGTAAGTTGCTCGTTGTCATGGCTTGCCCTAACCAAGCATTTGTGGGGTTTTTCTTCTATGTAGAAGAAACATCCATGGAGTCCCAAGAGAAAAAATACACCGGATGAAAGAACGGTATGAACACGATGTTACCTTTCACAGTGTCCTTCACGCAGAAAAGCCAAGCAGAGCCAACAGAAACCAGGACAGGAACGGCACACCTTCCGGCGGCCCCGGGTACTGGAGCACCTGCACCTCAGAGCTCCCCAGCCGAAGGGCTCACGGCGGCTTCTCCAACGAGAGCTTCAGAAGGGGCGGCTGTCACCACGGATATTAGCGGTCTGTGCACAGCCACTGCAGAGTTTTCCTAAAGAAGTTTCTACTTCCATTTTTTGGTATTTATTCTTTGTTCAGTTTTAGCCAGAGCTCTAATTCCAGTGTAAATAGCCAAGCCCAGAAGTTTCTGAACAGAGGTCATATATTCATTATTTCCAAAAAGCAACGTCAGAGTGCGCCTGTACGGCCTGATGCTGGGGATTCTGTGGAGGGCTCAAGGGTCTTTCTCTAGGGAAGGAGTTGATTTGAAACTGAAATCCAAGATCACCAATTAGCGGCAGAGTCATAAACAAGGTGTTACTAGTACATTTCTATGGGCTATGGTACCACTGTCTCTGCCAGATCCATCTTCTCCATAGAGCTGGAGGGAGCGAGGGAGGCGGAGGCGGAGGCAGGAAGCAGTTTAGTGCGTTGCTGCTCTGATAGGCTGCGTCCAGAGACCAGAGCCATCTCTCTAACGGCATTGATTCTCTTTTAGACTTAATGTACAGGAGGGAGGGAATGTTGTCCTTCGAAGTAACATTAGGAGACTTCCTCCCTGATTTTAATGACGTGTCGCTATTAAACATGCCTGTGAATTCTTAGGAACAAAGGCAACCAAGAACCCGTCCGTCCCATTACAGGACAGACCCCTCCCTCCGGCTCGCAGCCTAATGTTAATGTAAATAAACCTGCTTTCGCAAATGCCCAGTTTTAAAGAATCATCAAGAATCATCATCATTTCTAAAATGATGCCTATAATGTGTGATTAGTTAGCAACTCGAATATTTAGGAGAACAAAGCAATGAGGCAGCCAGGGTGTAGGTCATACAAGGAAATGTGGAACTCACACTCACTGAGATGAGCAGGCTGTTTCACGTGGTATTGAGACAGTGAAATGTTGACTGCCCCTCGGATCAGTTATGAATTTATGAGTCCAAATTAAATCCCAGCAGGCTGGAATCAGATTCATTTGGTACGAGACCATGGCAAGACCATGTGGGATATATGCTCTATTTATTTTTTGGCCAACAGCTTCTTTTTAATGTTCTGTGAAATATTATTTTAAGTGTCTTATATAATGGTGCTTTTATGGTTATTAAAATTGTATATGGTATTGCATTTATATTGGGTTCGCCATTGAATTTATTTTTGGCTTAACAACAAAACATTTACCAAAACCCAAGGACTTCAACCATAAAATAACCTTTGCATATATCATAAGCTTATTCATGAATCACCGTTAATAACTAGGGTTATTCAGAAGGGGCGGCTGTCACCATGGATATTAGTGGTCTGTGCACAGCCACTGCAGAATTTTCCTAAAGAAGTTTCTGCTTCCATTTTTGGTGTTTATTCTTTGTCCAGTTTTTGCCAGAGCTCTAATTCCAGTGTAAATAGCCAAGCCCAGAAGTTTCTAGGCGGAATGAGGTCTGCACATTAAAAGGCCGACTTGCCATTCCATTATCAACATTGTTGAAAACCACCCAGCATCTTCCTGACAATGAGCAACACACTTCCTTAGCATGTTCAAAACTGGTGTCTTAGCCGGTGAACACGATAGTCAACTGGGATGAATCTGCCATTCTAACTTGGCTAGATTCTAATTTAGCATAGCACCCAGCAGTCCTGAACCAATCCACTCGGTTCTCCGACCTGCCAGGCCCAGGTAACCGTGGGTGTCGTAGCCTGTACCCTGCCTGCACAACGACTTTGGTATGGTTGGCTTCATGCATTAGGCTGGCAGAGGGGACAAGTGTCGGCGAGCCCAAATGGAACCTCCTGCTTTTGGTTCCACAGGCGCCCCCCAAGGCCAGAGTCACATCCCTGGTGTGGCTGGCTAGCTTCAGAGCAGCAGGGCAGCTGCCGGAGCCGGGTCCTACCGAGCTTATCTCAGAACACAGCTGCTCAGGCCCCCCGAGCTGGCCCTGCAGAAGCAATCCATTCTTTTCATTTCCTACGGCTTCTGACTTCTGGGCCCTCTGAATTGCCGTCACTGACGTGCATTATTTGTAAAGCCAGTGGAGTGCCCTGTAACCCAAAGGTTCTCCGGCAGACAGACAACACCGAGTGCTTGGCCGTTACCCCGGTCACGCAGTGGACACTGCTGGTTTTCCTCGGTGTCACTCGAAGGAGGAAACATGCACTCATGCGGAAGCTTCATGCTTTCTTCATGCAGCATGGATTTTTGTGGTCTACATAAAGGTGTCTGTATAGGTGGCCTGAGAGAGGATAAAGAGGGTAATAGCATTTTTGATAGGATTCACAAGAAAAAAGGTTAACTTTCAGCCAGGCAGTGGTGGCGCACACCTTTAGTCCCAGCACCCAGGAGGCAGAGGCAGGTAGATTTCTGAGTTCAAGGCCAGCCTGGTCTACAGATCGAGTTCCAGGACAGCCAGGGCTACACAAGAAAACCCTGTCTCAAACAAACAAACGAACAAATGAACAAAAAGGTTAAATTTTATAAATAACATAATCCTGTTCACATAAGACTCATTTACTCTGCTCTAGGTTGGGTCTACAGAACAATGATTAGGACAGGAAGACCAAATTATTTTAGGAACAAAACTTAAATCACTAGTAGACAGAACACTTGAAGGCAGAAACTCGGTGAGAGCATCTGCCTGTAGACGGCGCTGTGGTCGGCATTGTGGTCAGGAGGGCACTACACAGCAGGCCGCCTGGATCTTGCCGTGGAGTGAAGGATGACCTGGAACTCCCAATAGTCTCTCTACCTCTGTGCTGGGATGACAGGTGCGCATCGTTAGGCCGGCTGGACTTCCAGCTGGATAATTTAATTTGACAGATTATAGTAAGGAGTGACTTTGAAGGTTCCTAAAGCCGACAAGGAGGAAACCCTGCCAGAAGTAAACACCACCGTCATGTCTGTTCATCCCGACAGAACGGACTCTAGCAGAACTAACCGCATGTGAAAGGACACTATTTCATAGGAGTTACCCACACACACACACAAAAAAAAAAACCCCTTAAAAACAGAAACCCAACTACCACAAATGAACTAGTAAAGTGATGGTACTTAGAGACCTTAGTCAGAGAAACAAGTGAAAAGCAAAGGTGTGTTTATTTTGCATGTAAAATAATGCTTGTAGTGTTCAAATCTAATCATAAAGATTTAAAGCCTTTTGAATTAGTTAACATCTGGCCAGCTTTAGACAACTGAATAGTTACACAGATAGAGAAGCAGGCAGAACATCTGTAAACAAACACTTCTGGAATGTGCTGTGATGTGTGTCTGGTCACACACGTGTAGTTTGGAACTGTTCACACTTTACAGACTGGGAGGCTAAGACTCAACAGCTAGTTTTCCACCATGGTCATCGCAGTCTCTGCCGTCCCCGAGACAGACTCCTTCCTGGACCTGGGTCCTGCACGCTGGCCTGGCCTCTGTGCCGGCTGGGGGCTCTCTTGTCCTTGGGGCACAGGGGTCCTTGCAGAGTCCCCAGGAAATACCTGTTGACTTCCTTCTGGTGAGCCAGGTCCAAGGGCTTGGGTATCAAGCAAGGCAAGCTCTTCATCAGCCACCGAATCATGTTCCAGCAGAGAAGCGCCACTGGCCTTCTGAAGCAGCGCCCTCCTCTGAGGGAGACGGGGCTCTCTTTCCTCCCTAGGTGTTGCACATTTGGCACCACGACTCCGTGGCGGCTGAAAAGCCTTCTGTGCAGCTGGAGAGACAAAGGTACAGATGGGACTGACCGGGGGAGGTAAGGGCAGCCGACTCAGGAAATCCAAGGCTCTTCTCTTCCTGCAGGTTTTTGGGTCCTCACTCTCTCTGTCCCCGTCACAAGACTTTGATACCATCTGGGCTGCCTGAGCCAGGGATGCGGACTTCTCTTTTGGTGTGCAATGTGACAAAGGACTTAGATAGCTTTGCTCGCTATTAGGTGAAAACCTCTATAAAACATAAAAAAGGAGCCTATCATAATATGTACTTGTATGTAAACAAAATAAAACTTAACCTTTCATTAAAAACACAAGCAGAGGACACATTCTTTCTTATCCAATTGCTGAAGGGTAGATGGGATCAAAAACATTCACGCTGTTATTCCCACCCCACAGGAAATAATTTCGCACACGAGCATCTAAAAACGACTAGAAAAGGAAAATGAAGAGATCCTCATACAGGATTAAAAAACAAAACACACATGACAGCGTTTATGCTTTAACTTTCCCAAAGCCTTACAAAGCTAAAAATGCAGGCTACTCAGAATCACTCTGAGAACACACCCTGCCTAATTACTACTTCTTGCTCTTCTTCTGAACATTGATTTATTTTACGTGTTTACATGTTGTGCATGTGTGTGTGTGCACGCGAGCATTCACATGCTCCAGCACACCTGTGGAGGTCAGGAGACTTCCTGTGGGAGTCGTTCTCCACTCCACCAGGGCGGTCACAGAGGGCAATCATCAGGCTGAGCCCCAAGCACCGTTCCCTGCCGAGGCACAGCGGCCTGCCTGGAGTTCTAGTCTCTGTCTCTCTCTCTCCTCTAGTCAGCGTTTAGCTTTTTCCTTGGCCAGTCTGACTACCACCAGCTCTCGTGTACGCAGTGAGGACTGCTTACTGAGGTAGGGTGCTGGGCTGTGCCTCCTGTCCAGTCAGCCCTGGCAACCAGACCCCTACCATGATTTCATGAGCCAGCTGAGCGTGAAATGGTATGTTCGGGCAGCCCTTCCAGCGACAGGACAGGACAGGCAAAAGGCTTTTCAACCACACGAACGTGGACTGCCAACAACGCAGTCTGCTCCCAAAGTTTTACATTCACACCTCAACAAGTAAGGTACAATTTCCACATACGGCAGCCAGCCACAGGTTAATGCAGTTGAGTTACACCTCGTGCTCGCCAGAACACGTTACTCCCCAACATGACTTCTCAGACTGACAACTTACCCCGAACTGGCCTCCTGTAGCAAGGAGCTCCAGAGGAGGGCAGGTGGAGGGCGCCTGAGCGGAGGCTTTAGTCGGGGTGGACCGCTGGGGACTGTCTCCATGAAGCAGATGTGAAAGCTTCTGTTCTGCCTCCTTGTAAAATGTGTCCATATTCTAAGAGGATAATTGGAAAAGCTGTGTCCTGAGTTGCTAATTCCCACATGGATGTTCTCAGAAAGTATTTTCTTTCAGAAATAAAACGTTCAGAACAAAAGAATGAGTCACATTTTTGTTTGTTTGTTGTTTAGCTAGGGTCTGGTGCTCACTCTGTAGAGGAGGCTGGTACTCACATTCTGGAGTCACAGGCGTGGGGAGACACTGAAAACTCCACAGCAACTGTCAAGCCCTCCCCTCAGTGTAAACCAACTCCCGAGGGGTGAGGGGAGGAGGGTGGGAGTGAGCACCTGTGCTCATGTGTGGAAACCCTGGGCTGAAGGCGCTCTCCAGACACCCGTGTCCCTGCTTCCTACCCTCTAGCCTCACCTCGATAGCCTGCTTCATTCTGTTGACTCTCTCCTGGAAGTAGGCCTCCTTTGGACTGGCAGAGAGTATGGAAAAGTCCCCCGCAAATAAAGCCGGTACCCCTGATCTGGATTCTGGGCGCCACTGGAGGTTGCTCGCAGCGATCAGCACACGGGGCTGTATGTCTTCATTAAGGTCGGCCCCAAACTTGACCACTACTAGATTAAGGGATTCATCTGACAGGCAGACCACAGGAGCAAGACCTAGAATGAAAAGAAAGTCAACGTTTTCTTTACAGTTGCTTGGACAATGACCTACTTGTCTGTCCACGTAGATAAAAACCCCTGCGTTTACAGAAAACAGCATTTCCAGAATGACCCGTTGTGGAAGGTGCTAAAATTTCAGTGGCAAACACTGCGAGGCCACGGGGCAGCAGATGCGCCGATACACGGCCGGTGAGAGCTCAGAGCTGATCCGTCCTTCCGGGGAACAGGTGGCACTGCCTAGCAGAGCTATGTGCGTCTCACCTTTCCAGCCGGCACTCACTTCTACAGTCCACTCTGAATGCCCAGTAACAGTAAAATACACGTGGGCCAGGGCCATGCTGACGGCTGCACCCAGTCACTCAGGCAGGACTGCCTGCACTTATAAAACGTTGGAAGCAAGCCTACCAGCTCCCACGAGGGAGTAGCTGTGCCGCACCCACACAATGGTTATCCAGCAGCTGTGAAAAGAATGAAGACAATCCCAAGACAGCGCTAACTGGGAAAAGCACACCAGAAAGACTCCAGTGACACCTGCAGAACAGGAAGGAGGCAGAGAAAACACACTCTTCCTTCCTTCCTTCCTTCCTTTCTCTCTCTCTCTCTCTCTCTCTCTCTCTCTCTCTCTCTCTCTCTCGCCAAGAAATGAGGAAAGCTGAACAAGAAACCAAACAGGTGAGGCCTAGAAGGGCAAAGGAGGACCAGACTCAGGGTAGTTGCCCAGGAGGGAAACATGCTTCTCCCGAGTGCAGCTTTCTGTGTGGCTCTGACTATTAGCTTTACAATCACTTCCCATTTGGAACTAGAGTTAATACAGGACTGTGGCAGAGAACACAGATGAACTGGCAGCAACGTGTGTTGCCAAAAAGCAAAGATGTGCTCAGAAAGTGGAGGCGGCTTGTGGAGAGCTATGGTTGGCTTGGGATGCACTGGGCCTGTCTCTCCTCCCCTGGACCTGGGCAGGCACAGGGATGCACTGGGCCAGACTCTCCTCCCCTGGACCTGGGCAGGCACAGGGATGCACTGGGCC